GATCCCTGGAGTTCATTGGCCAGCCACTGTAGATGAACGACTAAGCTCCGGGTTCAGTGAGAGACCCTGCGTCCAATAGGTGGAGAGTAAGAGAAGAAGACACTTAGTGTAAACCTTTGGCCTGACACACATACACACAGGCACACACGCGCACACACGCACATACACACACACACACACAGAGTTCAATTGAAGAAGACACCCCCCTATCAACCTCTGGCCTCCACATGCATAAACACACAGGTACATACACACACACACACACACACACACACACACACACGTACAGGCACACACAAAACCGGGAGCTCTTTGTGCTCACCTACATCCTCCTGTCCCAGAGTCTCCAACCTTCTACAGCAGAACCCCACCAATAGCAGATCCCACATTTGTACCTCCCTTCATCTTGGTTTTCCTTCTCCACAGAACTTCCTGGTTCCACCTCCCTTAGTGCAAGGCAGCCAGTGTCTGAGTAAGAGAAGGCGCTCCTTTAGCCCAACTGGTTCCAGGCCTAGGGCCTTAACCTACAGCAGATTGAAAGTGCTAAACTTGGGGCAGGGGCATGTGTTGATCCAGAGGAAGAGGAGCCATAGACGTATCTCTCAAATCGGTTACACGGTGTTTAAAAGGCAGCTCTCAACCAGGAAGGGCATTTATCTATTACGAACATTTTCCTTTTTCAGTGGTAATTGAAGTTTTTCATCGGGTGGCTCATGCTAAAAGGCCCAGCACATCGCGAGCCCCCCCCACCCCCCTCCGAATGCAATTAGAGAGTTTAATCAAACTCTGCTGCGTGAGGAACACCAGCCAGGCTATTTTCGCATTTTTCAATCTAGAATCATTTGAGGACTTTTTAATTGTTAACTGGGTTTATTTATTGAACTTGGGCCTAAAAGAAAAATAAACAGCAAGGGAGCAAAAGGTGGCAGACACACAGGAGAAGCCAAAGTGTGCGATTTAATAAAGTCTGTCCTTGTTAGCTCTGGCGGTGGCTAGATTCCAATGAATTCAAATTTTCAGCTGGGTCTCTAAACATCACATATTTACATCTTTCATCTATTATGGTATTTCAAATAAGATTGTTATAAAATTGCCCCAACTTTGGGCAACTGTAGATCATAAAGTAGGAATATTATTGCATTACAGGAGAGAGGCCGTATCTCATTTAAAACACATAAGCACATAATTTCATAGATGTATATCTGGAGCTGGATATATATCTACGAACAATGAAATTGCCCCAAAATTAAAAGCCTCTGGCTATATATTTGTAAACACAATCGGATCACAATCCAATAAAGGCCCCTTTTGAATTAATGTGAACCACATGGTTTTCCCATCATTACATTTATAACTTTTCTTCTAAGCTGCTCACTGCCTCTTCTTTGTCTCTGTAAAAATGCAGGGCCTGTGTGTGGATTCTCTAGGTCTCCTTTGGCCAATGGCATATATAACCATCCAAGGCAACAAAATTGAGTAAAAATTGTGGAAAATATCCAACAAAAAAGGGCACCTTTTACACCTTCCTAGAGGAAGAGTTCCCATCTAATCTCTCGACACTTGTGACATAAAACATTTTGCATTTTCAAAAGACACCATCCCCTCACTTATTTTTATACTTCTGATCATGAGAAAGGAAAATATTCTTAACCAGAAAAGACTAATGATTTTATAGGCATGTTAGAAAACAAAGACTGTCCTTTAGTTTAGATCATTTAAAACAAAACTTTCCAAGTGACAAGCTTGTAGCTATAATCCGTTCATCTACTGTAGAACCATTTCCATGGGGAGAGCCATTGCTGAGGTATAGGATGGAGGGAGCAAGACTTTCCCTTCCACACACACAGATGCCTCTCCAGAGGACTGAAGTGGTCAGGGAGTGTTAAGCAGCATTCTGGACAGCCTGTCAGGAAGAGTCCACACAGAATCAGGAGGCCTATCAATTACCTCTGCTCTGCCTGGGAAGATTGGTATTTTCAAAGGCATCAGGTTCATACAGTCCCATGGGACACAAAGCCAACTCGGTAAAGTCAAAGAGGATTCATTATCTTAAGTGTGCCCCAAAGATCCATGGCAGATTAGGTTCGGGTCCAGATGAATCCAGGAGCTTCAACAGTACAATGGTAACTCCCTTATCTCCAGTCCTTGGATCTGTTCTCAGATCCCAGGTGTGTGCTGTATCATGATTGTGTTAACTGAAAATCAAGTCTTATCACAATACACTTATATATGTATAAAATTGCCAAAAAATTAAGACAAAAAAAATCAAGTCCTTGCTTATTAATCAGACCAGAAATCATCATAGTATTTGCACCAAGTGACCACCCAGAGTCATTACCATCCCTGAACTAATCAAGGTGACCAGGGCAACACAATGCTCTGCATTCTGTGGTCAGGTCATCTACACACAATTGGGTTCATAGAACAAGGTGAACCCCACTGAAAGGCAAAGATGATGAAAAGAGCTATCCCAGCACAGGGCGGGGGCCAGGAATAGAGCTCAGCAGACAGAGGTACCTGTGGCGCAAGCTTGGTGGCCGAAGGCTGATCACGGAATATGCATCAAGGGGGAAGGAAAGAACTGACTCCACAACATGGTCCTCTGACCCAAGTACATCATACACAAACACACACACACACACACACACACACACACACAATAAAAATGTAAAATAAAGTATCAAAATTTAAAAATTAAAGAACATAGAGTTGTTGGGGATTATCTGTTTCTGGAATCTTTGGTTCTACATAACCTAGATGATGCTGGAAATTTTCTGGTTCAAAAACTGCACTCTGTGTGATCACTTAAATTTCTGTGAATATCTGATTCCTAATCTATACAATGGGTGTGATATTACTTTTCCAGTTGATTGGTATAAAATCACAACACGATTAGCAGAGTTCAAGTAAATAACATTAGAATTATATAATACTGGATTTAAACAATGCATTATCATTATGGGAGTTAATGGGAAGTGAATTGCTCCTATCGGTCAGGGATATCCACCAAGCAGAGCATTATCCAAGTCCATCACTGATAAATACACTTTAGGCACCTTATTCTGCACCCAAAAACTCACAAGAAAACAGACAAAGGGATCTATTATATCACCTCACTGTAGATTGTAACCTATTACAACACACACACACACACACACATTCTCCTTAGCTATAGGACTCCTCTTTGGTTGGTTTGATTGGTTAGGTAAGTGGGTATGTCAGTGGGTGGGTGGTTATTTGGTTGATTGGTTAGTTGGTTATTTGGGTGGGAGGGTAGGTAGTTGGGTGGGTGATTGCTTGGTTAATTGGGTGGGTAGGTGGGTAGATGGTTAGCTGTTCGGTTGGCTGATTGGTTGGTTGGTTGGTTTTCTGGATGGGTGGGTGGATTGTTGGGGACCCTTGTGTAAAGTAGTAGTCTCTTCATGTCCAGATAGCCCATGGGCTCCGCTCAAATGCAGAGACTCCTTTTTCAGCAGGATGCTTTTCTGGCATCTTCCTGACTCGTCTTTTGAAGTAGCCGCCACACCTCCGGCTCTGGAAATGCCAGGCTTTCCTGTGTGATTTTTCAGGCAGTCTGGCAGCCTGGCAGGAGCTTACTTCCACATGTAAATGGGGCATCCTAAAAGTACCTATCAGCTAAGGTTTTTACTACCACCCCAATGGTATAAGTGTCCTGGTTTTTCCTCAATAATTGGAGCTGGGGCTGGAGCTGGATTACTAAGACTTGGAGCCGAGCAGAGTCAGGAGAATAAAGAGCTGTAACAAGGACTAAGCTGAGTCCCGCGTCTTATTGCCTACGATCCAGCCTCCCGGGGGGCGCTTTCCTTCCGTCATCGACTCACGGAAACCCAGCTTTCCCCGCCTCACACCTTCCCGGGTGATCCAGCCGCCGGTGGATTTCGCATCTCGAGGAAGCGCACGGGTGAAATTAGGGCGGAACTCGGCCGGGCCAGCCCCGGTAGCAGAGCGACTCACAGCGGAGAAGCAGCAGGAGAAGCAGGCGCCCGCCAGCAACGCGCTCGGCCGGGCCAGCCCCGGTAGCAGAGGGACTCACAGCGGAGAAGCAGCGGGAGAAGCAGGCGCCCGCCAGCAACGCTCTGCGGGACCGCCACCTTCCCGGTGCGCACAGGGGACCGGCGCCACGCTAGCAGCTGGCGCCCCGAGATCCCTGCGCACCCCATAGGTGGATGAGTGATTTTGTGGTTGGTTGGTAGTTTGGGTGGGTGGGTGGTTGATTGGTTGGTGAATTGGTTATTTGGATGGGTAGGTGGGTAAGTGGGTGAGTGGTTAATTGATCGGTTGGTTGTTTGAATGGGTAGACGGGTGGTTGTTTGGTTATTTGGTTGGTTCATTGATTTGAGGTTGTTTGATTTGTTTGGTTTTGTTTTAGACTTAGATGTAGCTTGAGTTTTAAAACACTTTAGCTATTTTGAGACAAGATGCTGAGATCAAGATCAGTGTTCAGCCATTACTAGCATCTGAAGCTTAAAATGCACAGAGCCCAGAGAGTGTGTTCTGCCATGGGATGGGGTAAAACCCAGTTAACTTGGTCTTTCTCTGCATTGTGATAACCTGTTTTTAAAGATACTGGCTTTAAAATTTTCAGGATTTTACTACATGGTCATCAGTGCAAGCTGAGCATCATCTTGGGCATTATTCCTGTATTAAAATAGAAAAAGTAAAAGAGATGAGATTCTAAAAGAAAGATAAAGGGGAAAATGGGATTATGGACACACATGAATTGAACCAAGAAGAAACTGAAGTCGTAGTTGAACACAATTTTTTCAAATGAATTTTCTTCAGTATGTGGGATTTGATTTCCTTTCTAGAAGCTCCCACCAAACTAAAGAAAGAAGTTGAAACACACATCGATTTGGAATCATCTTTAAGTTTGAATGCTGGGCTGCGTTCTGGGGAGAGGGAAGTAAGCCTTGCCTACCCCTTCCTTACCGCCCTCCTCTTTGAGTTATGCCTCCGTTGTCAGGTTTCCTGATACTTACTTTTCATTTAGTGAGGAAAATTTCAGTTGATCAGTTTTCACAGTTCAATCAGGATGACATCATGCCCACATTGCTTATTTTCAGTTCCACCCTGTGTTTGGATTTAAAAGACAAAAGCAAATGAATAAGGGGGTGGTATTTCTCTGAAACATTCATAGGTGTTATAATCTGAGTGGTCACGTTTGTTGGTCAATATCTCCAGATCATTCATCTCCAAAGTACAAGACAAGTTGACTTCAAATTCTTAGAGCACTCCTTTTGTTCCTGATGTCACAACGTGGCAAACATTAGCCCTCTGGCATCCACTCCAAGTGGGTATGGGTCTGTCCTGTTCAGCCTCTTGAGGGACTTTTCCTTTGTTACAGCTCTGGGTGTTGGATGCAGCACCTGCATCCTCCTCCTCCACACCTCTCTCATGTCCATCACTTCCCTCAAATCAGGACCCTTGATCACAGGATGTGGAAGTGGCTCATTGATTGCAAGTTTTATGGACACCACCCCATCGCTGTGTCGTGTCAAACGGGGTCTCCACCAGGACATTGCCCATCCATGCCCTAAATGGCTTTGCTGTAATCCGTGGGTCCTTGGAGATCCCTTTCCCCCTAAGCCACTTACTCTTAGGGAAAGTCATTTCCTGCTGAGAGGTGAGGCTCCAGTCCTTGGTGTCCGGAATTAACCTGTACAGGGTAGAAAGTGTAATAGCTTTCCTTACTCCTCTGAGGGCCATAGCCAACACAGATTGATTACATGACAAAGGAGCATGTGGACCCAAACTGAAGACCCAAGGCCTTGGGGAAGGCTTTATGTCCAAGTTTTCTTCAGTTATATCATATAATATTTTTCTGTGTCATCTGTTCTGATTGCTTTCTAAAGAATACCAACAATCTTTCTTACCTCTCTTTTCTGTCTATTATAAAAATATAACCTTCATAATCATTTTATATCAATATGTTGAAAATAGGGAATTATTTTTGGTAGGGATCCGGTCATGGATGGCTACCACTTTTATCTTTGTATTCAAAGGAGAAGGGGAAGACTTACGAAAATGTGATGGGCACATAGGATGTGACCAGATGTCAATGGGTGGAAGGGAGCCAGTGAGACGCAGATTCTGCCGGGCCTCTCTGTGTGATGCCTCTGGAGTAAGGGACTGCCACAGAGAAGGTTTCATGGCTGGTTTGAGAGGCGCATGCTTCTGTGACCCACAACAGAGATGAGTTCTGGTATCTGCACTTCTGTTTAGGGGAGAAAAGAAGCAGGAGAGAGGAGAAGGTCCAAGAGACCTGCTGCAAGGCCTTCCAGTTCACAGGGCTCAGAGAACCAAAGCATAGGACCCTGGGGTGTGCTCTGAGCCCCAACCTCCGCATCCCCAGGTTTTGGAAGACACGTGCCATGTTCTGGGACTGTGATCTTTGCCTTGTAACTAGGAATGTAAAAAGTTGCTTCATATTCGTTACTTATTGGCTGGGATACATTCTGAGGAAATGCCCTGAACCACATTTGGTTTAACCCCAAGCTGGGCTTGAGTCTTGTGTGGATCAACACTTTTGAGTTTCAATGAGCTTCCATCCATCTTAGACCCATTTTCCCAGTTGTGTGAAGACGGTCCTTGACTCCTTCCCTGGCTGTTTCCTTGTCAGCAATATAGACTAGAGAAATGTGCTTAATCCTCACAAGGCCTATGTGAGGACCAGGTGGGCAAGGGTACAGGAGGAGCTGAGCACAGTGCACAGCCTACAGCAAGGACCCAGCAGCAAGATGGGAGGATTGTCTGGAAGCTCATGGGCCAGCTAGCCGGGAGCAGGCACATTGAAAACAGAAGACCCTGCCTCAAGGTAAAAGAAAGACCCAGCTCCTGGGAGTTGTTCTCTGAACTCCACATACACACCATAGCAAGTATTTTCTGTCTGTGTGTGTGTTTGTGTGTGTGTCTGTCTGTCTGTCTGTCTCTCTCTCTCTCTCTCTCTCTCTCTCTCTCTCTCTCTCTCTGCAGGTCTTCTATCTGTCCCTCTGTCTCCCAACATGCAGGAGGAATGTAAACACAACATTCTCAGGGGGGTTTTCTGGGTGGCAAGGACACAGGTGATTTTAATTTTCTTTATGCCTTTCTAAATTTCCCAAGTTTCCTGAAAAGAGAAGAACATGTGTTATTTATATTACTGAGGGAAAACACAAGCCTTACAAAAATACTGATCTTGCAGGGTGGTTGCGGGAGGGAAGTAAAGGGCCAGCGTCCTCCAGGCCAACAGCCCGCAGCACGGCCTCCCTCTCAACTTGCTGGCCCAGGTTCCTGCCTGCTCTGAGCCTTCATGCCTCACCTGTGGAAGAGACGATGCTGATTCTGGGAGTCTGGAGGGTTTAAATGTCTGCCCCAGGGCCAGGCACAGTAGTCTCCTCCAACATCAGATCCTTGCCCTAGATTGAAAATTCCAGCTGGATCATCTGCAAATCTTTGAGAGGTACAGACCAAAACTGCAGCCAACAGGAACTCCGGAACAGTGCTGTTCATTTGGAGTGGGAGACTGAAGTCACTCCTCTCTGACGGCCAGGAGATATTTATAGGCCTGGTGCCCAGCCCCCTACAGGGCTCTCCCTACAAGCTTACCAAGTCCTCAGGTTGGCCATAAAACTTGGAGAGTATCTGAGAGGGGCTGGCCCCCAGCCTTCATGCCACATGAAAGAGATTCCTTCTCTGGCCCAGTTAGCTAAAATCACTTCCTGCAAGAAACAGGGAGGAGAGGGAGGAGGCTGGAGAGGATGGGGTGGGCTGCTGCACAGCTCTCCATGCCAGATTGGTAAGGCTGTCACCACAGGCCCGCAGCTGCACAGGGCTTATCCTCACCGCCTCTCCCAGGTGCTATGGAGCATAGACTCTGCACAGAATGGTGGGACCATGGTGAGAACACAGCCAATGGTGGGACCATGGTGGCCTGGGTGGATCTAACAGGATAGAGGAAGCTAGAAGGGCATGCAGGTAAGGGAGTCAGCCCAGGTAGAGGCAGAGGGTGGAACCATGTGGAGCTCAATTGGGCAAGAAAAAAAACGAGCCATTAGAGCACATCATGAAATCCACCAAGAACACCACATAATAGATGCTCAATATTGACTGACTGGGCATTGGTGCCTTTGAGCAAAATCAGGAGGAAGTGCAGGGGTCTCTGGAAGACAGGACGTGGAAGCCTCGTTTTTCTCAAAGTTTAGCCCTTCTTGCACTGCCCAGGGCTGTATAAAGCTGGCTTGGGCCCAGCTCTGGGAGGCACCCAGGCCCCCACCTCTGCCTCCACTCCTACCCCACCCCAGACACAAGTCCTTTCTGTCTCCTGGCCAAGCAAAGACATTTCCGGAGGCCTGGCAGAGCCCCTTTGGAGATGTAACTGTAAGTACCATAAGCCAAGTTTTCCAAGTCAGGGCATCGAGCAAAACCCCAACCTGCTCCTCTGAATCCTTTTCTTTTTTAAACTTTTAAGTTCAACGTGGGTTTGAATTCAGGGGAAACAGGAACCACATGTTTTTAATCCATCAACACTTAAATCATCATCATGTTAGAGGCCATCGGTTTGGAGGCCAACGGGAAGGCTGGAGCCTTTGAAAGACTTTCTTCTATTTTGCTAGCGATCGGAAAGCAGCCTTTTTCTAAAAGGAAACCAAATTTCAGCTCCAAAGAGCCTGCTGTGGTCTGTTCCCAGCCCAGCACCCTCAAAGGCCAAACAGACAGGGAACTTGGCAAGAGCCTGGGTTGGGACAGCCAGCCGGGCAGAAGGTATTTGCTGCCCAAGAAGCCCCATGCTCCTCACCCACCGAAAGACCTTGAGGGGAAGGATAGCTCTCTCTGTAAGAGAAAGAGCTAGTAGGTGAGAGCCTTAACACCAGGAATGACCAGCAGACTTAGAGGGCTTCAATCACATGACCAAGAGCTCCCTCTCACCCAAGCCTTAACAGGCCACTATGTTCAGAGTGTTCTTTGAGAGAGTATAGATCAATGTCAGCTCCCATGAAACAAGAGAGGAAATATTCACTAAGTCAGAGAGAAGACGAAATGGAAAGCCGCCTACCAATAAACCACAGGAAACACCCAGAGCCAGGAGTATGCCTGGCCAGACAGAATTCTCACAGATTTTATTCAAATCTTATGCCTGATAGTTATCATACCTATATTCCAAAATTATGGGCAGGAATAATATTGGCAGAGATTCTACAAAAAAAAAAAGTGAATTCATGAAAGTCAAAGGCTCCCTGTGTGGCCAGGGAAACAGACTGTGGGGTCTGCATCCTGAACTTGACTGCTTCACAGGTTCTAATATGAACCACTGCAGCCTCATAGCTGAGAGTCAACAGCCAGCACAGTCACCACAGCTGATGGTGGGATATCCCCTTCACTAACATACTTTGTGATCCTCTCCCTATGTGCCTCAAACCAGTGTGGGAATAAAGACCTATCCACCTTTGACCTGAGAGTGAGGGGTCCCAACTCTATGCCAAGGAGGCATGAGGTATAGTGCTGAGCTCCTACTGGATATAGCCTAGTGGTAAAGCACTTGCCTAGCATGCATGAGGCCCTAGGTTCAGTCCACAGTCCTACAAAAGGCAGAACCTATTAGTGTTGGAGTTGAGGGGTGGAGGGGCAGTGCTCACATGGCCACCCAGCCCCAACTCATCCTCTCCTCTCCCCAGCAGTGGTGACAGTCTGAGAAACTGAGTAGCACTCTGATAATTATCCTGGAGCCAGAGTGGATAGGTTTTACTTCTGGTTCCATTACAAGTGGTGAGGTATGTCGTCTTTTATTTTAAGGAGTGTAAGTGTACTGCCTGCTTGTAATACCCACGGAGGTCAGAAGAGGGTGTCAGATCCCCTGGAACTGGAGTTATGGATGGTTGTTAGCGGCCATGTGGTGCTAGGAATTGAACCCGGGTCCTCTGCAAGAGCAATTAGTGCTCTTAACCACTGGACCATCTCTCCAGCCCTGAGGTGTGTAGTCTTCAAGGCTTCCTTGACATCACTATCCTTCCAAATCCTCTACCGCAAAATCAGTGTTATAGGAACTTGCACAGGCCACAAGGACCCCATCCATCCAGTAGAGAGCTGCCTCAAATGGTTCTTAGCATTGACCCAAGGAAAGACAGCATCTGCAAACTCACATGAGACAGCTATGTGGCCCAGAGTCAGCTCCCCATGAGCACTCTCTGCGTCCCCTCTGTACTCGGTGGCTGTCCTTCACACCAAGGTCTGCTACAATTGAGAACTATGATGGCCTGAGGCCTGAGCTCAGGGAACTCCAGGACAGGTCTTGAGGGGATCAGATGGGCCTATCCTAATGCTGCCTGCGGTGTGTAGTGACTCTAATACATTTTTGTGAGGGGGTGTATATGTGGAGGGCGCATGTATAAGTGCATGTGGTAGGCAGAGGCCAGCTCCCATATTACTGATCAATGGTCTTTTCCCTTTTGTTTAAGACAGAGTCTCTCACTAGCCTTTCACCACATCGTCGGCCAGCAAGCCACCTGTCTCTGTCCCCCTCTCCCATTGCTAGGATTCCAAGCACCTACCCTCACACCCAACTCTTTACATGGGTCCTAGGGATCTGAACTCAGGTCCTCATGCTTACAAAGCAAGCACTTTACCACCTCGGCCATATCCTAGCCTTCTTTTCTTCTTTTCCACTTAAGTCGTCACACTTTGACATCTCTGAGGTTGTCCCCCTTTGCTTCAGCCCCCACCCCCGCAGGCAACTTACAAGGGCACCCTTGACTAAGGAACCTCTCCAGTCTGCTGATGGATTTGGAGGAAAGAGAAGAGAGAGACATTAAAAACCAGAGAAAAAGATGAGGGACTCAGTGTCTTAAGAACAAGAACTGTTCCCTAGTCACAGAGTGAAGCTCTAGGATTTCCAGGGAGCTGGAAGGCCACAGTAAATCTCTGTAGGAAAAAATCTCACAAGAGTATTGTGTCAAGGAGCTGTGAGGGCAGATCCTATCTGTCCTGTAGTCACAGTGAATGACGGCAAGTGCCAGACTGGCTGACAGAGCTGAGCCAGAGTCCTCAAGACATAGGGCAAGGCGGGTCACAAAGTCGGGAATGAACCAGAGCTGATCCAGAGGCAACCAGGTGGTCCACTCTGTGAGCCAGAGATGAGAAGACAGCTGAACCTCAAGTTCAGCAGGAGCTTCGGCATCCACGGCAGGATGCAGAGCCCAGCCCTGGGCTGCACACCATCCTGGGT